CCCAGAGTTCCTCAGCCAGCAAATCTGGCTGAGGAACTCTGGGAGTTGAAGTCCACAAGTCTTAAAGTTGCCAAGGTTGGAGACCACTGTGTTAGAGCCTTGCTTTTGGGCTTACAGTGAGCTGTGGGGACTTTGGGGAAGGTTGGTGCAATAAAAGGAGATTCCATCCTTCGCATTGCTGGTGTTGCTTATGTGCCCTGCCCCGGGTCATAACAATTTCATTTAGGAATTTACAATGCAAATAATTGCTACTAACTACTATGTTGAATCATATTGTGCTCTGTTTCATTGAAAGCTATAGGTAGTCCTTGACTTAAAACAGTTCATTTAGTGACTGTTCAAAGTTACAACAGCACTGGAAAAAGTGACTTATGACTGTTTTTCACAGTTACAACCTTTGCAGCATTCTCATGATCATGTGATAAAAATTCAGATGCTTGGCAACTGATTCATACTTATGACCATTGCTGTGTCCCGTGGCCATGTGATCACCTTTTGTGACTTTCTGACAAGCAAATTCAATGGGGAAGCGAGTTTCACTTAACAACCAGGTTATTACTGTAACTTATCAACTGCAGTGATTCACTTAACAACTGTGGCAAGAAATGTCGTAAAATGGGGCAAAACACACTTAACAAATTCTCACTTAACATAAATTTTGGGCTCAATTGTGGTCGTATGTTGAGGACTACCTATATAGTCAAGGAAAGAAAGGAAAGAAACGTATCAAAATGAGCTATAGATTCTAAATTATTTTGTTTATTAACAAGTGGAGACTCAAAATGTCTGCCGATAAATTTCCATGGCTTGGGAGTTAGGGAAAAGTCCAATGCACAGAACAATTCTCCATACAGGTACAACGTTTTGGTTCACAATTATATTTTGATCAAGACAAAGTTTTTAAAGGAGATAGGGGAAAAGTAACTGATCAAACTATTCCATAATGTATCACTGGTCTAAAGATTAACACTTGCAGCCCTACATAAAAGGTTTCTGACCAGGTTCTGGTAAGCTTGGTGAAAGTGGGGGGATGTGGGGTGGGGGAGACATGACAGTACATCCTCTGGTCACTTTCATGGAAAGTACAATTATAGAGTTTTATTTCAATGAAATTTTTAATCCATAATCTCTCCATGACTCCCAATAGGAAATAACAGTTATGTATGTACAAACACCTTGCTACAGTTGCAAGAAAAATTATGTGAACCCCTTGGGATTACGTGGAGTTTTCAATGAATTGGTCATAAAGTGTGCTCTGAACTTCATCTAAGTCACAACAATAGAAAAACACAGT